TCTCGCCGCCCCAGAGGCCTCCAGCTGGCCCCGGAGCGCCCGGCCGCCAAGTGGAGGACGTCCCGGCTTCTCCAGATCCCAGCTCAACCAGGGGTGCAGTCTCCGCCGCCAGGCTCTCGGCGCGGAAAAAGATCGGAGGGTTCTAGCCACTCCAAAGATCACAGGCCTTAGCGGAGCCGCGGGCGGCGAGCGCATGAAACCGCAACGTGCTGGCGCCGGCAAGGTGGCCGCGCTGCTGGAGCGCTTAGAGCCCAGGGGCCTCCACGCTGGAGGGGTAAAACGCCTCCAGGCAGTGAGGAGCCTTGGGGTTCCGTCCCTTCTCGTTTGCGAGATGGTCTTTGGCAAAGGATTCTTCCTGTCTATCCGACAAGAGCTAGTATTAACTGATTCTTTCTGTCTATCCGACAAGAGCTGGTTTTAACTGAGCTTTGCTAAGTTGCGCTCCAAGCACCAGGTCGCAGCTCCAGCGGACACCTACTGTTGCTATCCCGTATACACTTGGGAGGCATCTAATCATGTGGCTGGAGAGTATTTCTCCAAGTGTAGTCTTCTCACCAGCAGCAGCATCACCCGATTTGGGGGCCAGCAGGTGGCATGGTGTTTAAGGCACTGCATCCCACTGGATCTTGCCTCTTGAAAAACAGGCCAGACGCATATGCCGTTCTAAAAAGCTTGAGAAGAGAATGGACTGTGGCGTGGACATCCCCACAGAGAGTGATTTCTCATTTCCTTCTGTCTTTCTCCAGTGGGCATCTGCGACCAATGGCAAGAAATATTAAATTTTAAAAAAAAGCAGATTTTGGGGTGTCACTGCAGACCTAAATGCTATAAGCATAAACTCTGAGCATAGGGTCCAGCAATTTGTGCTTTAAAAGTTCTCCAGGTGACTCTGGTGCACACTCAACCTTGAGAACCATTGAATAAGTAGTGGCAGTGCTGCAATTAGAATTTAGGTTTTTTAAAAAAAGAATTCAGGTAGGGACCAGCAGTTAGCGTAATGGCTATGCCACTGGACTGCCACGTAGTTGACCGAGGTTCATGTCCTGGACCCTGTGGCTTAAAATTCATGCCGGGCGCGTGTGCGTGCGTGCCCAAGATTCCAAGAGGAGAACAGAGGAGAAGGAATTGTGGTGTGGCCATCCCCCCTGGGGGATGATTTCTTGCTTTCTGTCTCTGTCTGTCTGGCGAGCGCAAGCGCCCTATAGCAAAAACCTCTCCAAAAAATAAATAAATAAATAAATAAGGCAGGTAAATTCAACTTTTTTTTTTTTTTGAGAGATTTTTGCTATAGGGCACGTGAACTTGCCACAAAGACACAGAGAGAAAGAGAGATAGAAAGCGAGAAATCACCCCCCGGGGGGATGGCCACGCAGCAATCCCTCCTCCATTCTCCTCTCAGGATCTTGGGCACACACACGCCCCGTCGTGACTTTAAGCCACCAGTTCGGGACTCAGACTGTGGTGGGCTACTTGGGAGTCCAGCAACATAGCCATTACACTAACTGCTGGTCTGGGTAAATTCAACTCTTAAGCCCATGTTCTGAATCAGTCTACCAGGGCCTCTGGCTACTCAAGGGTCCTCAACAGCCCTAAGGTTCTGTGATGTAATCTTTTGGATCTTTGCCTCAATAATAGTAGCATGGATGATTCCAAATAGCTGAAAATTTGGAAACTTTCTACGGTAGAAATAGGACCAATAATTCTGAGTGTGTGTTTTTCAATAAATAAGTTTGTGTTTCTAAGTCCCTAAAACATATGGGCAGGGCCATGGGTCCCTAGTAGCAAGACAGTTCAGACATGAACTGGAAAGGGAGTGGGGCAGAGAGACCCATAGCAGTTGAAGAAGAAGAGTAATTTTGTTTTCTAGTCAGGGACCCCAGTGTAGGGATGAACTATTCAGAAGGAGGCCAGAGGCATTCTGCACGGAGTCTGGAAAGGCTGGCAGAGCATGGAGAGCTTGCCCAGCTACACTGGATTAGAGTGATGGTAAAAGATAGACATTCCAACAGGAGCAGAGAGTGAGGTGTACACTCACTCTTGGCATAGTCACCCATCACTCCGAGCTCTAAGGGGCTGAGTAACCCCTCCACCTCCCATCTGTCCCCTGCCTTTCACACTAGAGACTGTGGTTTAAGCTCCTAAAGAGAGACTTCCTACCTTGCTTCCTTGATCACCTTTTTTTTTTTTTTTTTTTTTTTGCCCTCTCATGGACTCTTGGGACTTGTTCTAATTCACTGCACTAGCTGCTGCCATTCTTGTCTCTTGCCTTACTCAAACTGTTGTCTTTTTCAACAAGGGCATTTCCTGTTGAATATTGTGGTGTGCTGCTCCTGGCTTCCCATCTTGGGAGTTAGACATGTCCTATACAGGTCTGACCTATTCTCTGCTCCATTCTTCCTCTAACTTGGCTCTGTGACCTTCAGGAGTTGTGCAATCCTCACTTGGTCCTGAGCTTTGGCCAGGACCCAACCTGACCTGAGGTAGGGAGCCTCAGTTCTTTCCCAGGACACGGTCCTGACTGCTAATCTCCACCTAGAGCTCCTGAGCGATCTGCTCCCAGCTCCTAAGAAGCAGCAGCAGTCTTTGTTGTGTGCTTCATATTCCAGAAGCAAACTACTCACCCAATTTTACTTCACCTGGCTCCAATTTAAATGTGACTTTGAGTCTTCAGAATATTTAACTGCCTAATTTGGAGGCACATGTAGTCCACAGGATATGTGACCTGCCCCTGATGTGTCATACACTGAGCTATTCTCTCCTAACAGGGAGGTCTGGGCTTCCTCCCCGCAGTGCCAGGAAGGTCTGGGGTTGCTACCTCTGAACAGTGATGGTGCCATCCACTTCCATTGGTGGCAGGCCACTTACAAAACTGATTTCTTCCTTTAGTTTTTTGACAGGATGTTAATGTCATGATCTTCCTTAACTGGACTGTGGGGATGCGCCAAAGTGCCCAGCTTTTTTTTAGAGTAGGCTGGGAATCAAATTTGAGTCTCTTATATGACCTCAGGATCCAGCATCTACATCTCAGTGTGTTCATGTACAAAGAAGTCCCAAAACAGACTTCTTCCTCCTTTAAAAAAATTGTTAGAAGGCATGTGTGTGTCACACATGAGAGAAGGAGAGAGAGAAAGCACTCCCCAACCCACACACACACCCCTGTGGGCATGGTCACACTGCAATATTTTTTCCTTCATTCCTCCCTTCCATCAGAATCTGGGGCACATTCATACATCCTTTGCCTGTTTCTCAAGTCATTGTAGCCAGGATTCGAACCTCAGTCAGCCATATGGGATCTAGCTCTCTATGCACAGTGTGTAATTGCTGCACTATGGGGTCAGCCTTCAATTTCTTTAAATGTTATATATTCACATGTAAAATTTAAAAAAAAGAAAGAAGAAAAGGTACTGGGAAAAGGCTTACAATGAAAGCTGTTTCCTCCCTCCCTGGACCTTCAGTCCCTTTCTCCAGAAATCAGCTCTGCATATTCATGACTGAAACTCTTCCTATTATTAGGCAAACATTTCTGCAGGATGTGCCTGAGTTCCTTGAGCAGCAAAGACCCAAAATGACCCCTTTCAAAGAAGTCCTGTGAATTTCGTTATTTTCGCCACAGTCTTACTTTTTCATTTCTTGGACATTTTAAATTCTGTTTTTAGGTGTTCTGAGTTTCACTTTTCAAATTGCATGCTTCTGGGGGGTTTCCCCATGAAAGACAGGAAACATGGTGGGGAGCAGAGCAGTTGCCACAAATGAGACAGGGCAGCTCTGAGAGGCTGTTGACATCTGGCCCTTATCAAGTCTTTTCCTTCCTCACACAGTTCTTAGTGAGAGGCCACCCACTTCTTGGTGGGACAGAAGGAATGACACCTGCCCTTCAGGGTTAGGTGCTGGCTCTGCTTAGCTGGGAAAGTTTGCAGAGATTGCCATGAACTTGCCAGGGAAGTTGGGGGAAGACCAGCTGGCCTCACTTAATACTCATTACCCTGTCGGGGCAAGGTAGGGGGTGGAAATAGGAACCAGCAAGTCCCTTGAACCTCCTTGTGTCTTAGTCTCTTATCTGTAAAGTGGAATTAATGACAACTAAAGTTGTTATGAAGCTCAAAGGAGATAATTGATGTGAAAGTGTGATATTTGGTTCTTGGAAACTGCATCTGTTTCTTTATCTCTTTTTCTCCCATATCTCCAGAAGAAAATCAAAGCAAGAGATGTTTTAGAAACCTAAGCAGTTGTGCTATAGTCACTTATATATTACAATCTATTTGCCTGAATTTTGTCACCTGTAACATGGCATATTATTTATTTATTTTCCCTAAGCTTTTTGCCGTAAGGCATGTATGCTTGCTGGAGAGAGACAGTGAGAGGGAAAGTGAGAAGTCACCTTTGGGTGGTGGGGGTGGGGTGGGGGTTGGCTATGCCACAATCCCTTTTCCTCCATTCTCCTCTTGATATTTTGGGTACATATGCACAGATGCCCAACATGATTTTCAGGCTACTTGATTTGGAACTTGAACTGCAGTTGGCCCCAGCATAATGTTTCTATTATTGGGTTGTTAGATTAAGTAAGTAGGGCTTAACTCAGTACCTGGTACACAATATACACTCAATAAATGTTGGAATATTAGTCATTTATCATTAGTTGTTTTTCCTCTTTTCTTCATCCCGTCAACAGTATTGAAGCCCATCATGTAGTAACCTGTGTGCTAAATATGGAATCAGATGCAGAGATACAAAGATAGTCAAGCTCTGCCTCTTTCCTCCAAATATCCATAGTCTATT